GGGGGATCGCGGGGGATCGCAGTTCTCCCGGGTGAGGTACGGGGGGCGGGGCACATGACGAAGCCCCACCCCCTGCTTCCGGTTGCCCCGCTTCCGGCCCTCATTCAGCCAGGAGGAGGCAGGAGAAGAGGGAGGGTAAGTTGCTTCCTCCCTGCCTCTCCCCACCCCTGCCTGCCTGGGGCCAGGGAGGGCCTTCACGGGGCTTCCTTGCACTCCCGCCGGCCTTGCAGGTCCACCGCCGGGCCCTTCATGGGGCTCGGCAGTGGAGCTACAAGGCCGGCGGTGGCGGCCGGGACAGTTGGGGGCGGGGTGTGTGGCCTTATGACACACTTCCGGCGATGTCAGGGGGTGTGGCATATGCTAATGAGTTATGCTAATGAGTTCTACGAAACGACCCCTGGTGTGGCCTATTATGCTAATGAGTTCCTGCTGGGCGTGGCCAACTCAGGAGCCAGCCGGAACTCCGTTCCTGTGCGTTCCTGCCCAAAAATAGCCCTGATTACAAATATGACACATTCAGTCAGTGGTTTTCAGCCTTTCCAGACCCAGGACTCACTGAAAATAAAAGTCATGTGGCAGCAAGAAGGGGGGGGGATTATGATCACACCATTGTGGGCAGCAGACAAAAAAGAGTTTGGTACAAGAAACAGAAAGCAAGCCCCCCGAGGGTCCTGACTAGGTAGAATTGCCACCCTCCAGGTAGAACCTGAGATTTTCCAGAATTACAACTGATCTCCAGACTACGGACATCCATACCCCTGGAGGAAAGGGCTGCTTTGGAGGGTGGACTCTGTGGCATCACACTGCACCGAGGTCCCTCCCCTCCCCAAACCCCACCCTCCCCAGGCTCCACCTCCAAAATCTCCAGGAATTCCCAAACCAGAGTTGTCAACATTATGCTGTGAGAAGACTTTAGGGAGCGGACACTCACCAGAACAGCATCTTCCAATGTCATTTCTGGCCACATGATCAGAAATGATGTCATCGTGTTGTTGGCCACTCTAGCATCCACTCTAAGGTGGAGTTCTGAGCGAATGCAAGAGTGCCCAGTGATGTGGCGATGTCGCTTCTGGTTATGCAGCAGGAAGTGTTCTCATGCTATTGGGGGCGCCATTCCAGTCCCCGCATTTCTCTCCCACTGTTACCAGAGCATGGACGGGCAACAGGGGCAGGAGCAAATGGCAAACCTAGCCCCTTATACCACTGAGTCTAAGAGTCTCTTGCCCCAACCAGTAAAGCTGTTCTTTCAGAGAACAGAGCCAGTTTGGTGTAGTGTGCGGACTCTAATCTGGGAGAACCGGGTTTGATTCCCCACTCCTTCACATGCACCTGCTGGATGACCTTGGGCAAGCCATAGTTCTGTCAGAGCTGTTCTTGGAAGAGCAGTTTCTGTCAGAGTTCTCTCAGCCCCACCTGCCTCACAGGGTGTCTGTTGTGGGGAGGGGGAGGGAAAGGAGTTTGTAAGCCACTCTGAGACTCCCTTGGGTAGTGAAGGGCGGGGTATAAATCCAACCTCTTCTTCTCCTCTCGTTCTTGTTTCCCAGGTATCATCAAACAAAATCCAGAAGGCGGGGAGGCTCCTTGCTGCACACTTAGTAATCACGCACCCAGACCTGATCCGTGATCACAAGCACCACCTCCGGCTTTACAGGTACGAATATTCTTCACCCGGCCTCTGTAGTGACAGATTAGTGTCCTCTAGCTCTGGGCAGCGTCTGTGGACCAAGTTTCCTAAAAGGTGGGGGTGGGGTGCCTGTGGGGAAGAGCTTTGATTTGACTGGGGGCTATCGCAGGAAGGCTTAACCCTCCCTGCTGCTGTTTTCCTGAGAGAATTGGCAGTCTAAGCCAGGGGTGTCAAACATAAGGCCCAGGGGCCAGAACTGGCCCATCCAGGTCTCTTATGCGGCCCACAAGCAACTAGTGCAAGGGAGGGAACAGAAAACTGCTCGGGGGAAAGTGGGCTCCGAGTGTGGCTTCAGCATGGCAGAACAACCTCATCTGCAGCAGTCAAGCTGCATGGGAGTGTCTGCCCAGTGCTGCACTGCCGGCCAGTGTTCCCTCTAAGCCAAGTTAGTGTGAGCTAGCTCACAGTTTTTTAGCCTCTGGCTCACACATTTTTGTCCTAGCTCAGTAAGGATGGCTCCAGAGCAAACTAATTTATGCAGTAGCCAAATGGCTCGCTCACAATTTTAATGCCAGTAGCTCACCAAGTAGGATTCTTGCACACAGGACTCCACGGCTTAGAGGGAGCATTGCCACCGGCTGTCCAGTCCGCCCATCCGGGGTTTCCTTTGCACCCCCCTTCCAGCCCATGGGGCCTTGCCGTGAGGATACACCAACTCAGAGCTTACCAGCTGCTGTCCTTTATACAGTTTATATCTCCTGTACCTGGCGTTACGTTTTACGGCACACGTGGCCCGACCCATCAAAGTGACATTTAGGTCAGATCTGGCCCTCGTCACAAATGAGTTCGACACCTCTGGCCTAAGTGGTTTTGCACCCCAACAGTTCTGCCTACCTCTTTTCCCTAAGAGGGTGTAAAGCAGCTTGGTGATGCCATGTTCCCCAATTAGGACCTGGAACATGGTTGCCAACCTCCAGGTGGTGGCTGGAGATCTCCCGGAATTACAACCGATCTCTAGGCGACAGAGATCAGCCCCCCTGGAGAAAATGACCACTTTGGAAGGTGGACTGTATGGCATTGAACCTCTCTGGGGTCCCTCCCTTCCCCAAACCCTGCCCTCCTCTGGCTCCGCTCTCCAAATCTCCAGGTATCTCCTAACCCAGAGCTGGCAACCCTAATCTGGAATCTTTTGAAGTAAATCAGAGGTCATGGGAGGGGTCAAGCACTCCCCCTCTGCCAACCTTTCCTTGCAGTTTTTTGACAGTCAGAGTTGTGCAGCAGTGGAATCCGCTGCCGACAGAGGTGTTGAGCTCTCCTTCACTGGCAGTCTTCAATCAGCGGCTGGACAAACACTGGTCAGGGATGCTCTAGGCCAGTGATGGCGAACCTTTTAGAGACCGAGTGCCCAAACTGTGACCCAAAACCCACTTATTTATCTCAAAGTGCCAACACGGCAATTTAACCTGAATACTGAGGTTTTACTTTAGAAAAAACAACTCATACATTAACTTAAGATGATCCAAACAAAGTAAGGAAAGCAATCCCAAATGCTTTCATTTACTTAAAATTATTTGGCAGAGAATTCCACACTTTAATGACGGTCTGGGCCTGGCTGGGGCGATGGCACGCATGCCCACAGAGAGGGCTCTGAGTGCCACCTCTGGCACCTGTGCCATAGGTTCGCCACCACTGCTCTAGGCTGATCCTGCATTGAGTAGGGGGTTTGTCCTAGATGGCCTGTAGGGCCCCTTCCCACTCTGTGGTTCTATGATTTATGCCACCTTGGTGAATGCGGTTCTGGTAAGGTAGTTCTCAGATAACGCATAATTTTACTCTACAGACTCTTGGCAGGAGCTGAATCTTCTTCCCTTGAACAGAAGAGAGAAGGCCATGGCTTCACAACTCTCTCCCCTTTGAAATTCAGAAGGGACTCACCCAGGTCTCAAAGGCAGCCGTGAACCCTTCTTCTTGTCTTTTCTTTCTCCCAGGCAGTGCTGCTCTGGCAAGGAGCTAGTGGACGCGCTGCTCAGCGCGGGGCTCTCGGTGCAGACCCGCAGCCAAGCCCTGGGGCTCTGCCAGGTGCTGATGGATGAAGGAGTCTTGGCTCATGGTGAGATCGCATGTCTGGGGTTGCGGGATGGCGCCAGTTCAGCACCCTGCCCTGAAACGGGCTCTCATGGTTCTCCAGACAGCGCTCGCTTATGCTGAATTGACCTAATTAAGCCTGACCTCAGGCTAAAAGGTAGCTTGCCTTCTGAAGCTGGGATATAGCTTGCCCAGCCTCCCAGCTGTGAGGTCACAAGAGACTGCTGACGCATCCTTGATGATGTCATAAACAATCCCTCCTTGCTGAGACGACACTTCAGGGTGATTCTGGTGGTCAGCCCAGTAGCCGGCTTGACCGGCTCTGCCTAAGGGAGAGCTTGCTTGGGACAGTCTTGTGAGGTAGACCAACGTTTTTCACACTCCTACAGAGGGGGAATTGAGCCAGTTGGGGGGCAGCTTTGTCGTATTTTGTAGGGTGGCCAACCTACAGACAGGGCCTGGAAATCTCCCAGTTATTACAACTGATCTCCAGACAGCCAAGTTCCCCTGGAGAAAATGGCTGCTTTGGAGGGTGGACTCTATGGCGTGGTACCCTGCTGAGGCCCCTCCAGCCTGGTGTAGCGGTTAACTGTGCGGACTCTAATCTGGGAGAACGGGGTTTGATTCCCCACTCCTCCACTTGCAGCTGCTGGATGACCTTGGGCAAGCCATAGTTCTGTCAGAGCCGTTCCTGAAAGAGCAGTTCTCTCAGGGCTCTCTCAGCCCCACCTACCTCACAGGGTGTCTGTTGTGGGGAGGGGAAGGGAAAGGAGTTCGTAAGCCACTTTGAGATGCCGAGTGAAGGGCGGGATATAAATCCAATCTCTTCTTCTTCTAGACTTGCCTAGGAAATTGGGGACAGCCTTCCTTGGATAGTGCAAACTTCTCCTTCTCCTTCTCCTTCTCCTTCTCCTTCTCCTTCTCCTCCTCCTCTTTCTCCTCCTCCTTCTCTCCTCAAATCCCACCCTCCTCAGGCTCCACCGTAGACTTTTCAGGATCTAGAGCTAGGATCCAGGATGCATAGGTTTGAATCTCCACTCTCACAGGGTCATTGTTGTAAGGCTAACATGGAGGAGTGGAGAAAGTTGTCAGTGGCTTTGGGTGCCCACTGGGGAGAGAGGCCAGGTATAAGTCCTCTCATCTGGACGGCCCAGGCTAGCTCAGTCTCATCAGCTCTTGGAGGCTAAGCAGAGCCAGCCCTGTTTAGTACTTGGATGGGAGACCACCAAAGGAGCCCAGGGTCGCTACGCAGAGGCAGGCCATGGTCAACCTCCTCCGACCATCTCTTGCCTAGAAAACCCTACGGGGTGGCCATAAGTCAGCTGCGACTTGACGGCGACAACAACAAGAACAAATCCAGGAAACAAATAACAAAGCAAACGTTGGAACCTTGAAGTGTCTCTTGGATCCCATCCCATTGCTGTCTGGATCTCCTTCCCTGTTACTTTCCTCCCTTATCAGCTGCGACTTGACGGCGACAACAACAAGAACAAATCCAGGAAACAAATAACAAAGCAAACGTTGGGACCTTGAAGTGCCTCTTGGATCCCATCCCATCCCTGTCTGGATCGCCTTCCCTGGTACTTCCCTCCCTTACTCTCTGTCTCACTTTATTTCCCCCCTTCACTATTTAGGAAGGCTGCCTAGTTCAGGAGCGAAGCTAGGCTTTAACAGGTGGCACGATGAGGGATTCCAAAACGGATAGGTCGCAACTGGCTGGTCATGTCTCCCCCCAGCATGATTGACATTCTGTGTTCACCTGTCTTCCCCTTCCAGTACGGCAAGAGAGTTATTTCCAAGACCGCGATGCCCAGTTTTTCCGTTTTGTCGCCCTGGAGCCAAGGGCCGGGGACCACGATGGAGAGGAGCTCCTGGAGGCACTGGCGTTGCTCTCCCAGCTGGGCCCGACTGCCTTGCTTACCACCATCCTGCGCAAACCGTGAGTGTTAGCCTTGAACCGGGTGGCAGGCAGGGGAGAAACGGCAAGTTGCGAGGCCCGGCTGGGCACAGGCATAGCCATTTGCAGGGAGCACACAGGGTCCTCTGAAATCCTAGTTTTCCGCCTGCTTCTAAAGAGCAGCTTTCTACTCCCAGTGGATCTGGATCAGGGACAATCCACATGTTCCAAAGTCCTCAGGTCCTACGGTTGCCAATCTCCATGTGGTGACTGGAGATCTCCTGGGATTACAACTAACCTCCAAGTGACAGGGATCAGTTCACCTAGAGAAAGTGGCCGCTTTGGAAGGTGGGCTCCATGGCATTATACCCCACTGACGTCCTTCCCCTGCCCAAACCCCACCCTCCTCAGGCTCCACCCCCAAAATCTCCAAGGATTTCCCAACCCGGAGCTGGCAACCCTATCAGGTCCCCCACGTGTCTGCCCTGCTTCTGTTGACCAGACATGCTTGGGAGTTCCGTACACAGAATGTAAATCCTCGGCTTGTGTGAACCTGATTTGTATCAGGACCACTGCATATAGAGAGATGGGGCTTAAGGCTTTCCTCCCGTGCTCTTTTCCCGTTCATGAAACTCCCAGAGCATGTCTGCTCGATGGACAAAATTGTTGTTTTTGTTTTGTAGGTATGATAGGTCTGGCTTTAATTGTTTCAATGATGGGGGAAGTTTGGTGGTTCTAATGGTTTTAAAATGTGATTTGTATTGTTTACATTTTAATTTAAACCATAAAACAATACAAAATATTAAATTACAGCCCTATTTAAAACAGATTTTGATGCCTAGCAAATTATACAATCTGTACAAATTCTAAAATTTCTAAAGCAAGATGACTATCCCTGACCATCCCGTTCTCGCCCATAATGATGGGGGACATTTGGTGGTTCTAATGGTTTTAAAATGTGATTTGTATTGTTTACATTTTAATTTGTTAGCCACCTTGTGGCCCGTGTGGAGGCAGAAAGGGAAGATATAAATTTTGTAAAATATATAAATAAAAGAAACTGGAACAGACACATCTGCAGACACTAGGATGTTATAATCTAACGCAACCCTTCGTTTCATGATGCTTAGCAGTACCGCATAGTCTTAATGGAGGAACCAGAAACTGCAACAGAAGTTGGGAAGGATATTTTTTATTGATACTGACTGTAGTACATTTTGCATAGGGTTTTTTTTCCTTCTTCCTCTCTCACCTGGAGAAAATGGCAGGGAGAATATGTCATTTGCACAAGTCATTTGAATAACAGTCTGGATTTCAAGGTGGGCGACCGTGTTGGTCTGAAGCAATAGAACAAAGTTGGAGTCCAGTGGGGCACCTTTAAGACCAACAAAGTTCTATTCAAGACGTGAGCTTTCGTGTGCAGGAGCTTCGTCAGACGATGAAACGGAATTACATATCATAGCTGTATATATAGGGGTGGCTTGTTAAATGAGCATGCAGAATAGTGAAGATATTTTAAAAACAGGTCAAAAGAATGACACGCTCGCAGGTAAAATGGCGGGAGGGATACCGGGAGAGGTGTATGTTTCTCGGTGTGTGTTTACCCTGACCTTTCCCCTCCAGCCCTGGCCACCGCACTGACGAGGAGCTTGCACTGATCTTTGAAGAACTCCTGCACATCAAAGCAGTCGCCCATCTCTCCAATTCCGTAAGTGACGGACAGCTCCTTGGACCATTCCTCTCAATGCCTCTTGCTCCATCTATTGGGCAGCACTGCGTATGTCCGATTCACTCCTACCAGTTTCCTCCTTTCCGCCAGTTGCTCTGAGCTTGCCTGTGGGTGTAAAGTGCCGTCAAGTTGCAGATGACCCATGGGCAAGCCCTCAAGGGTTTTTCGTGGCAAAAGATGAACAGAAGTGGTCTGCCATTGCCTGGCTCTGTGTAGCAACCCTGGACTTCCTTGGTGGTCTCCCATCCAAGTACTAATCAGGGCCAACCCTGCTTAGCTTCCAACCTCTGGGCAGGTCAGGGCAAAGAGAAACAGAGGAGGTTTGCCATTGCCTGCCTCTGCGTAGCAACCGTGGACTTCCTTGGAGGTCTCCCATCCGAGTACTAACCAGGGTTCATCTTACTTAGCTTCCAAGCTGTGATGAGATCAGGCTAAGCCTGGGCCATCCAGGACAGAGAAGAGATGAGCAGATGTCGTTTGCCATTGCCTGCCTCTGTGTCATGACCCTGGCCTTCCTTGGAGGTCTCCCGTCCAAGTACTCACCAGGGCTCAGGAAGGGTGGCTCCAGCGCAAACTCATTTATGCAGTAGCCAAATTGCTCACTCACAGCTTTAATGCTAGTAGCTCAAAAAGTAGAATTTTTGCTCACAAGACTCCACAGCTTAGAGGCAGCACTGATGGGGAGTATTTGTTATGTAAAGGAAGCCCCCCCCCCCAGTAAAATCATGAAGTCTGGAGAGTAAAATGTCCTGGCTGCAGCACTTGGATAAATATGGTTATCTGGGCTAATCAAAACTGATCGATGATTGACTTGCATGTGCTGTTTTCTCACAACACCCATCAATCCTGCAGTTGAACTGTGCTGCTTGCTTTAGTGGTCCCTTGGGCAGCGTTTTCCCTTGGAAACCCGCTGCACCTGGGAGAGATTTGCCCCAGCTGCCTTGTGATCAGCTTTTGGCTTTGGACTGTTGCCATTTTGACAAGAGAGAACTTGAAGCTGTGCCAGCACAGTCCCTTGTGGTCGGAGTGTGTGTTTAGCCGATAGGAAACCAAATCCCTTCAAAGTCATGTGTGTGGGAGGGGGGCGGAGTTCCTGAACAAGCCACTGCCTTTCCACTGAGCTGCCTTTTATTAACCCTGCCACATTTGAGATAATTACACGTTTGTCAATTTCACGCCGGGCTCACTCATGAGAGCAGGGGATGGATCCAGTAACACCGGCATGGAAGGACTTCTGTCAGCAGAACAGAATTTTCCTTCCTCCCCCAGCCCCACTGCTCTCCTGAAATGTTGCTCCTGGGGGACAGGGGACCCCTTAGGAATGGCGTGAAGGGCAAATCAGCGGGTTGGCAGCAGGAAGAGGGAATCGACGGGAAATAATGCGTCCCCTTCTGGTAGCGAAAAATGTAACTTGGACCCAACCCAGACCATGCACCAGTTTCAAGGTTTTCCATATTAAAAAAAGATTACGTTGCCATCCATATAACCATCCAAAAGTGTGATTGATCTTTGGAAAGCATGTGTTTTAGTATGCAGAAGGCACTAGCTTTGATTCTCAGCACTGCCAGTTAAAGGATTTCTGGTGCCTAGGGTTGCCAGCCTCCAGGTGGGGCCTGGGGATCTCCTGCTTTTACAACTGATCTCCAGCTGACAGAGATTAGCTCCCCTGGAGAAAATGGCTGCTGTGAAGGGTGGACTCTATGGCATTGTGCTATGCTGAGGCCCCTCCCATCCCCAAACCCCTCCCTCTCCTGGCTCCACCCCCGAAGTCTCCAGGTATTTTCCAACCCAGACCTGGCAACCATACTGCTACCAGACCTAGCACTTGTAGGTAATACTGCTGCCAAGTGGGGGACATACCTGGCTAAGCAGGCCATTCCTCAGATAGCGGAGATGACATATCTGGTCCTATCCATAAGATGCAGATTGCAGGCTCAATTTGCCTTGGGGCCATGTCAGGAAGGGAGAATGTATTTAACCCTTCAATCTCCACATAAAACCGAGCTCCCTAGTTTGTTACTGGCATTTTAAGGGGAAAATACACTTTTTTGGAGGTCAAGCCGTTCCTTCCTCCCCCAGCCCCACTGCTCTCCCCTGAAATGTTGCTCCTGGGGGACCCCTTAGGAATGGCGTGAAGGGCAAATCAGCGGGTTTGCAGCAGGAAGAGGGAATCGATGGGAAATTATGCGTCCCCTTCTGGTAGCGAAAAATGTAACTTGGACCCAACCCAGACCATGCACCAGTTTCAAGGTTTTCCATATTAAAAAAAGATTACGTTGCCATCCATATAACCATCCAAAAGTGTGATTGATCTTTGGAAAGCATGTGTTTTAGTATGCAGAAGGCACTAGCTTTGATTCTCAGCACTGCCAGTTAAAGGATTTCTGGTGCCTAGGGTTGCCAGCCTCCAGGTGGGGCCTGGGGATCTCCTGCTTTTACAACTGATCTCCAGCTGACAGAGATTAGCTCCCCTGGAGAAAATGGCTGCTGTGAAGGGTGGACTCTATGGCATTGTGCTATGCTGAGGCCCCTCCCATCCCCAAACCCCTCCCTCTCCTGGCTCCACCCCCGAAGTCTCCAGGTATTTTCCAACCCAGACCTGGCAACCATACTGCTACCAGACCTAGCACTTGTAGGTAATACTGCTGCCAAGTGGGGGACATACCTGGCTAAGCAGGCCATTCCTCAGATAGCGGAGATGACATATCTGGTCCTATCCATAAGATGCAGATTGCAGGCTCGATTTGCCTTGGGGCCATGTCAGGAAGGGAGAATGTATTTAACCCTTCAATCTCCACATAAAACCGAGCTCCCTAGTTTGTTACTGGCATTTTAAGGGGAAAATACACTTTTTTGGAGGTCAAGCCGTTTCTGATAGATGACTGAGAGCTGTTCTCTCATCAGCAGTTCTCAAAAGATCTCTCTCAGCCCCACCTACCTCACAGGGTGTCTGTTGTGGGGAGGGAAAGGAAAAGGACATTGTGAACTGCTCTGAGACTGCTTCGGATAGTGAAGGGAGGGGTATAATCTCCAATCTCCTACTCCTTTAAAACACTAATAACAAAGCAGGAAACTTGGTCTTGAACAGCGGAAGCCAAAGAGCTAAACTTCCTGTCCTTTCCCTGGACTGTCCCAAGGCAAGCTGAGGTTTCATGAGCCTGCCATTTGCATTTTGTAGATGGGAGAAGACACACAATCTTCCTCTTCACTAAACCAGTCGGCAAGCACTTTGCCTCCAGGAGCAGTCTGCCATTTGCCCCTGGAAACCTCCTATACACGTCTGGGCAATCAAAGCTGTCTTGCTTCTGAAGACAGAAGTCTCATTCTGAGCTGTACACACGCGTCGCAGGAAGGGAGAATGTATTTAACCCTTCAAACTCCACGCAAAACTGAGCACCCTAGTTTGTTAGTGGCATTTTAAGGGGGAAATACACTTTTTTGGAGGCCAAGCCATTTCTGATAGATGACTGAGAGCTGTTCTCTCATCAGCAGTTCTCGAAAGATCTCTCTCAGCGCATCGAACCAGGGACCTTCCTCCATGCAAAGCAAAGGCTCGTCCCCTGAGCCACAGCCCCCCATATCAATATGGTTGCACAAGCTGGCCCTTCAGCATGGAATGGGGAGGACCATAAAGTCCCTCTCTGGGTGCAATGGTGGAATGCCAAGGGAGATACAGGCCCCCAGTGGCCAAGTTGTTGCGAGCCAGTTACTTACACACAGTTCCAGCCTTTGCATGGGACTCGAACAGCAACACAGCAGCCAGTTCTCTCTTTACCTGTCACAAGAGAGAGAGAGAGCCAGTGAGTATGGAACGTTGCCTATGTAGCTGGACCACATGTGGGGTAAAGGGGAGCAAGGCCAGATGTCGCTTTGGAGATGGAGGTCAGTGATACAAGGCAGAGGACAAGGCATGCATTGGACGCACAGAGAGTAAGGCTGATTTCGCACTAGAGCTGCCTCGCGGTTGCGCTGCCGTTTGCCCCGACACTATTGGTCAATTTCACACCCGAAGCTGCGGGGCTGTGATCAAAAAACAGGATCACGAAACTGCGGGGGAAATCGGGCGAAGCCGCGAGTCAAAATGCAGCCCCGCAGCTTCGGGTGTGAAATTGACCAATAGTGTCGGGGCAAACGGCAGCGCAACCGCGAGGCAGCTCTAGTGCGAAATCAGCCTTACTCTCTGTGCGTCCAATGCATGCCTTGTCCTCTGCCTTGTATCACTGACCTCCATCTCCAAAGCGACATCTGGCCTTGCTCCCCTTTACCCCACATGTGGTCCAGCTACATAGGCAACGTTCCATACTCACTGGCTCTCTCTCTCTCTTGTGACAGGTAAAGAGAGAACTGGCTGCTGTGTTGCTGTTCGAGTCCCATGCAAAGGCTGGAACTGTGTGTAAGTAACTGGCTCGCAACAACTTGGCCACTGGGGGCCTGTATCTCCCTTGGCATTCCACCATTGCACCCAGAGAGGGACTTTATGGTCCTCCCCATTCCATGCTGAAGGGCCAGCTTGTGCAACCATATTGATATGGGGGGCTGTGGCTCAGGGGACGAGCCTTTGCTTTGCATGGAGGAAGGTTCCTGGTTCGATGCCTGCCATCTCCAGTTAAAGGACCAAGTAGTAGGTGATGGGAAAGACCACTGCTTGGGACCCTGGAGAGCCTCTGCTCTGGTCAGGTGTGCCTGCTTACAAGTCTTGTCCTTGCGTTGTCCGTGTTCCTTCCTCTTTCTCTTCCATGTCAATTGGCCATGGCTTTGCATATGTCAGAAATGTTGTTCCCAATACACCGTATCTATTTCTTTCACAGTGTTCAGCCAAGGGGACAAGGGCACGTCCTGGTATATCATCTGGAAGGGATCGGTCAATGTTGTCACTCACGACAAGGTGTGTGTTATCTCCTCCCTCATCAAAAGGGCAAGCCTGAAGATCTAGAAACTGTGTACTCCTGATCAGACCACCCCGAGAGGGGGGATCTGTTTGTTTAAATGTTTCCTGTGGTATGAACAGTTAGAGATGGTGTAGTGGTTAGAGCTGGGGCAGGCAGCTCCCAGCATGAATGCCAAAGAGCTGCCCACTGACCCATCTTCTTTGGCATGCTGCAAGGCCGACTTCCCACCCAAAAAACTGAGACAAGCTCCTGACCGTGGCGTGGGAGAAGGCAACAGGTGTGGCTAATGTCTGGCTCCACCCAGACCCAGGCAATCACCAGCGTGAACCGAGCATGAATCTCTGCCACTGCCACTGTGGATCAGCTTTCTCTTAGTATGTCTGGCCAAGGACAACCGTTATCTCTTCCTCTACCCCTTGTTTGCCAGCAGACTCTCTCCCATACTGTCTAGCATTGAATAGGGACATCTGAAAGATGCTGTGTCTTCCTGCCACTGAATGCAAATTGGGGGTTTGTAAGCTTCAGTTTGCCTTGGGGCCATGCGGGAAAGAAAGAAGAGGTTTAACCCTTCAGTTGTTTTTTGGTTTCGGTAATCGAAACTAGCATACCAGAATGGTCACAGATTATGCATTTTTTCAGCTCCGTCTCCAACTGAAGAGCCATATTTTTGAACAATTATTACAACTTTTTTACAAAAAGCATGCAACAAACCTAATCATCGCATAATCAAAGCGTAACATACAGAAACAATTAGGGCTTACGTAGGTTAAGGAGCATAGTATTCATTCTAGGTTTTACCAGCAGTTGGTTCCAAGACGAGCCCAGAAGTGAGGTGCAGTCTATCTTAGTGTTTGAGTTCTTTGGCACCTGCCTCTCCTTTGGGCTCACAGTCCGTTATTGCCCACTTCAGTACAAAATTCTTCGGAGCTCTTCTTTTGACAATACATCCTTCCAGTTTAGTTTTATAAGCCACTGCTGCGTCCTGTCATTAAAAATGTCACACTAAATTTTTGTTAATTTTTACCGACCTTTTACTCCCTATCTCCTGATACTTCTCTAGGCATCGTTCTGTTGACATTCTATTTTCTAACCACTCATAAACCATTGTTTGCTATGACTTGGCCTTAGTTTGACTGAAAACAAAGATGTGTACTTTTCTGTGATGGGATTACTGCTTCGGGGCTTTGATCTTCTCTGGTTAGATCTTTCCTAGTTTCAGTAGAGATAACAGGCTAACGTATAGGCGAGGGACTGAAAGTAAGTGAAAGTTGACTCAAATTCATAGTTTATTTATTTACTTACTTCATTTATACTCCGCACTTCTCCCCAAAGCGGCATGTTGCTTTCCTTTTCTCCATTTTATCCTCACAACTACCAGTTGCGGTCACACGTACAAGATAACGTGGGGGGGAAGCGAAGCTATTTCCTCCAGAGGAAATTGACCCGCAGTTGCACTATCACACAGTCCTTTGAAGCTGCGGGCACAGCTCGCCACTGCGTGATCAGACCCAACCACGGGTGAGTCGGGGTGGTGGTGGTTGCCATTTGTTTCTGATTCGCTTACACGGGGGATTGATGAATTGCGTCTCCGCACTGAGGGCTTCCTATGGCAATATGTGATAATGCACATACTGAGAAGGGGGAAAAACCAACGGCACGGGGTTGGGATGGCCTGATCAGACCATCCTGACGCCATGAGAGCGCGCTAGAGCGATCACAAAGTCTGTCTGTGGCCCATGGCAACCCGTTTGCTACTGGACTTTCCTCAGTGTCTTTTAACTCTACTTCTGTGGTGGAGCAAAACGGGTTGCCGATGGCTGGGGGGCGCTTCCCAGATGTTCACGTCTGATCGCGCCCTTTAAAATCTGCCTGGCATTTGCGCCTATTGCATGGCTAATTGTGCGTGTGATCACACCCAGCCTTTTGTTTGTTGGAAAAGGCAATGTCTGGTGTACAGAAAGGAGAAGAAGACCGTTGGATAGGATAGTAATATCAGCACCTTCTCTCCTCTTAAGTGTCATTTCTTGTCCATCTCCAGATTGCTACTCTAGGGCAATTTCCCCCTTCTCAGGAGTACCACACTCAGTCTTACTCTCTCTCTCAGCTAGAGATGTAGTTAGGAATCTATCTCTGTCTCTCCTCTTTATCAAGCATGTTAGTTCCTAAATAAACCTTTATCTACTATTCAGTCTTTAATCAGGAGCTGCGGTGGCTCAAGTGGTTAAGACGCTGAACTGCAGGCTGTGGAAGGTCGGTAGTTCAGCAGTTCGAGACCCGGGTGCCGCATGACGGAGTGAGCTCCCATCTCTAGTTTCAGCTCCTGCCAACCTAGCAGTTCGAAAGCAAGACATTGCAAGTAGATAAATAGGTACCACTTCGGTGGGAAGGTAACAGTGTTCCGTGTGCCTTGGTGTTTAGTCATGCCGGCCACATGACCACGGAAACGTCTTCGGACAGTGCTGGCTCTTCAGCTTTGAAACGGAGATGAGCACTGCAACCCTAGAGTCAGATTCGACTGGCTTTCGAGCAAGGGAACCTTTACCTTTTTAACTCTTTAATCAGGGTGTGCACCATTGCTGTGTTAATTACTCTGCCAACATTGTTGAGAGTATGTGACTGGCCCAAGGTCACCCAGGGAGCTCCCGTGGCCGAGCGGGGATTTGAACCTGGGTCTCCTAGGCCCTAGTCTAATTCTCTAACCACCACACCATGCTGGCTCATATGAATATCCACAAACCTCTGTGTACATAGTCTCTGTCCTTGGAGGAAGGCCGGGGTAATAGCATGCAATTATTATTTTATTCTGGTTTTAACAGGAAATGTGTTTTAACTTTTATTGTAAGCCACCTTGAACCATGAGGAAAAATGGGGTATAAATGTTTAAATAAATAAAATTGGATAAGCATGGCGTGCGGGAGAAGAGGCAGGACAGTTCTGCAGGTGCACCTGTTTACCTGAAAGGCAGACTAAGTTTTTTTCCTAAGACGTGTCATCAAGAAAAATAGGGGGTGTCTTCACTTTGTACACGAGTTACAGGTATGTACAGTAATTTTTTTTGGGGGAAAACCCTTTTGTATATAAGCTTTTTGTTTCTAAGGGGTAGGAATCAGCTTATATTCAGTGTCGTCTTCCTTCTGGTTAAATTTGGCTTACTTATATACAATACAGCACCATATATCTGTAACAGAATATAATATTCCTCCAAAGGATAGTGTAGGGTGCCACTAAATTTTATGATACAAGCAAAGGGTTACCAAAGCTGTATATGCCTTGTAACCCCTATGGCAGCAAGGGGGCATTTTTAGGGGGAATCATAGGGACAGGATAGTGCTAAACCTTTTTTCCACCCACTAATTCACTCAGTAACCCTTCCTCCCAGGCCATTTTTCACCTGTTTCCCCTCCCCAGGAGGTTCCAAGACCAGAACTCATCCTAGTGGGTATTTAGGGAACAGACAAAATGGCAGTGAGGAGGGGTGGCGGGGAAACCTTAATCTGGAAACGAATGTTCTCCAGGACAACATTGACTAGATAATTTTTATTTACTTCATTTATACTTGCACTTCCTCCCCGATGGGGACCCTAAGTGGCTTACGTCGTCCCCCTGCCCTCCGTGTTCTCCTGACACTGTGAGTTGGCTTAGGTTGAGAGAGAGCGACCAGTCCAAGGTCACCCAGTGAGGTTCCAAGACACAAATGGGGATTCGAACCCGGGTCTCCCTGATCCTAGTCCGAGAGTCTAACCACTACGCCACACTGGGTCTCTATAACGGGCTGGTGTGTTCACTTTCCAGGGATTAGTGTCCACCCTCCACGAGGGCGATGACTTTGGGCAGCTGGCACTGGTGAACGACGCCCCCCGGGCAGCCACCATCCTCCTCCGCGAAGACAACTGCCACTTCCTGCGTGTGGACAAGCGGGACTTCAATCGTATCCTCAAGGTGAGCCTGGGAATGGGTCAGCAGTGGCTTGGAAAGTCCTTCTTTTCTGAGATGGCGCACAGCTCCTGGTAGTCTAGGACCTGGCGAGGGTGCTTGGCTCAAGCGGGACGAACCTGTGGGCATGTAGAGCCTCGTATCTTGATATGCACTTACGTTTGTGGCCTTTCTGGCAACTTTGTGTGGACGCCACCTTTGGAAAAGCAATGGGAGCTACGCAGAGAACTGTTTCTGTGTGGAAACAGCCATAGTGGCAGTAACCTCTCATTGCGGGGGCTCGACTATAGGCACTGTTGGAAGTGGAGTACATGCTGTCCCCTGCCTCAGCCTTCAGAGACAGCGCCATAGATTTAGAGACAGATAGAGAGGTCAGGGCACACAGAGCATCCTTTCCTGCCTGCTATCTGATACTATATTTTGAAGTCGAATGCTATTCTTAGGGACAAGACTTCCTTCCTTCTGGCTTGACTCCACCTCTCTCGCACACACAAAGGTCCTTCCTGCACTGACAGCTGGCGCTGGAGAATCTGAGGAGTCAAGCCTTAAGGGTTGATTTCACAGTCACACGGATTCCCTCTGCACTGGTTCCCCCCCCCCTCTGGTTTATTTATTTGTGTATTGTGTATGCATTCTGCATCTGCAAGCCAAACCCACACTTTTTTTTGAGCTAACTTGCTGCCAACCCCTCCCTCCCTCCTTCCCTCCCTCCGTGATTCTGCAAAAAGAAAGGGAAGGGAGGGGGAAATCCAGGCAAGACCGACACATTCGGGAGCAGGGAATCCCCTAGTCCAGTGGTGGCGAACCTATGGCACGGGTGCCAGAGGTGGCACTCAGAGCCCTCTCAGTGGGCACGCGTGCCATCGCCCCAGCCAGGCCCAGACCATCATTAAAGTGTCGAATTCTCTGCCAAATAATTTTAAGTAAATGAAAGCATTTGGGATTGCTTTCCTTACTTTGTTTGGATCATCTTAAGTTAATGTATGAGTTGTTTTTTCTAAAGTAAAACCTCAGCATTCAGGTTAAATCGCCATGTTGGCACTTTGCGATAAATAAGTGGGTTTTGGGTCGCAGTTTGGGCACTCGGTCTCTAAAAGGTTCGCCATCACTGCCCTAGTCCTTTATATTTACTGATTCCTTCTTATGGCTTTTTAAAAGTTTGCCTGAGTGGGAAGACACATCCTCTTTTGTCTTTGGAGAAGGAGAGAAAGAAAACTGAACAGGGAGGGAGAGTCAAGCTAAAGAGAGAGAGGTGGAAATGGGGGAGGGCCGTGGGCAGCAATACTCACAGAGACAAGTCTACTTCAAAAAGCAATTTGATGAAAGCAGATGAGAACAAAGAATCACAGCAAAAGGAGTTTTGGTAGCTGTGGGGCAACAGTGTGCTGGAAGCAGTCTGAATGCAGATTCCTGCAAAACAAATGCCGAAACGAGAGGAAGCCCTGACACAAACTGGAAGTGAAAGCGGGAGGGAATGCAGAAAGGAAGAATAGGACGCACTGAGAAACCAAGGTGAAGTGCAGATGCAGAAAGGGCCAAAGAAGGAGCACACGCTCTCCATCTTTGCCACCATGGATGCAGGACAGGCATACTCTATCCGCATCCCTCTAGCTAGTTAGATTAGATCCTATCCCTGTCTCGCAACCTGCACTGTTTAGAATGTAGTTACTTGAATAAAGGATTCTTATTAGTTTGAAACTGACAAGTGGCTCTAACTCTGTAAGTTTGCTAGCGCACATACACTACTGATAAGCTGCTGCTGCGTGTAAGCCTCTTGTACTCTGCTGCGTAGGAATTCCTGGCTGTACCATACCAATGAATCTAACAGGCACGTCCTTTACTGAAGGAGGCCCACAATGACCAGAACGGAGAATCTCTTGCTAACAGTTGATGGGCAGCTTCAGCAGGCGAGTGGGCCACCTGATTCACTCGTCTCTGCTTTCCTTCCTAGGATGTCGAAGCCAACACCCTGCGGCTGAAGGAGCATGGGAAGGTGGTGCTAGTTCTGGAGAAGAATTCGCAAGGCGGTAGCTCCAGTCACCTTCCTGGGACTCCAGGGAGCAGTAGGTACAGCGGTTTGTCACCATCAGCTCCCTGCTCTCTCCTGGAGGCAGACACAGCTTCTTTCACATAGGCGCGGCTGCATGCATGAGCTTTCCCGTTTCTGTCTTCCCTGTGAAATAACGTAAGGGAGTGATCCTAAGCAGGCCTACTGTAAAGTAATCCCTGTGCTTTCCAATAGGGTTTACTCTTAGGAAAGCATCCGTAGGATTGCACTGTTAGACTACTGTCTTTGCTGGTGGCTGCATAACCAGCTCAACCAATCTGCTACAGCATCTTTTTTTAACAGGATGCAATGGGGGGGGGGTTTGCTGTCAAATGCCAGCTGAAATTTTATTTGTAGCAAAATCTCTGGTTCTCCTGATGCAAACTGGTGCTCTGGAGTTACAGGAACACTTCTCTCTTCCTTCAGAAAGCTCCTCCATGCAAACAGTTCTGGTGTCAATAATTTAGGGTTGTTCCTCTGCACGTTTATTTTGCCCACAGGTACACTGCATCATGTGTTTTGTAGTCTAAAGGCTGCATGCGCTTACTGGCTGTGTATGTGGGTATTCACAGCTACAGTACACTGCTTCTGTGAGCAAAGCAGACATTAATGTGAATGACGCTAATTGCCTGGGTGTCAGACTATGCCACCCATGATGCAGTAGGACTGTGAGAGGAACAAACACACAGGGAAGCAGTTGGGACCTGCGACTGTGAACTAAGCAACTGTCAGCGCAGGAAGTATAGAAATGTAGATGAGACATATGAATTTTGACAGGGCAGTATGCATTTTTAGTATGCATTTTTTTAACAGTCATCTGACTTGGGAAAAGATACTTATACATCGACTGTTTGAAAGAGCTTCCCACATGCAAAACTATGTATATTGACAGTCAAAATCAGGCAACGACATAAAGGAGGACCCCAAAGTTTTCCTGCGAGGTACAGCTCAGATACATATCTCTGTTAGTCATGTGATCAGAGACCTCCTTGCCTTGTTCTCTGCCTCAGATACACAGTTATGGCTGGGCCCCCTGAAAAGATTCTGGATTATCTGCTGGAAACCATGCGTTCAGACTCGACGCTCTCTGACCCCGTAGGTAAGTATAGAGCCACTTGAAGGGAGGGGCCAGCAGTGAGGAGTCCTCAGTCAAGTGGCAAGCCAGTCTAGGGCTGAGAACACAGGAAGCAGCCTTGTAAGGAGGAGATTTTAGTGCAGGGCTGGTGCCCTAGTTGTAGCAGCTGCAATGGCCCAGACTAGACCAGTCTCATCAGAGTTCAGAAGCTAAGCAGGGTTGGTACTTGAATGGGAGACCACCAAGGAAGACTCTGCAGAGGAAGGCAGTGGCAAAAACCATCTCTCTGACGGCATATTGAAATGTATGGTGGACAAGATGACAGCCTGGTATAGTAAATGAAGTAGATCAACCTGATCTAAGGTGACAGTTAAGGTGTCATGTGGCATGTCACCAGGTCCAGGATTGCATCAAGGTTGCATCAGCCAAGTTACTGTCACCATGAGTCAGCACTAGGACTCTGATTGGTGCTGAGATGTATATAATGAGTACAGTCTGTATATGGGCATTCACTCTGGTGAATGGAGTTATATGCGGAGCACTTTGCTGGATTGCCTAATGAATTGGGAACTGCAAATGCTGATGGACTGTATGTAAATATCCTTGTAAATAAACCACTGTATATAGTCAGCACTAGCCAACCTGGATTGTGTGTGATTATTGGCGCTTCCAATACGCTGACAGGGTTATGGGCCCAGCGTTGCGCTAAGAAGCTGACTACAGTTGGTATAGCCTGCACTGAGCTGTGGAGTCTTTGCCTGCGTGGAATTGGTGAGCTCCGGATACCCCATGAGGTGGGACTTCATGGGGTCGCCATAAGTCAGTTGCAACTCAACAGCACACTTCACTTTTGTGCCTAGCTAAATCCTCTGGGATTCTGCTGAGCTTCCCTGCCCCATTTAGTTCATTAGAGGTGGCATCTTTGCATGTATGGCCCTTGGTGCCGGAGAGGCTGGAGCTCCACCTGTGCTGTTCTGGCTAACCCTCTCTCAGAAAACGGACGGAGGCAGACATAAGAACAGAAGAGAAGCCAATGTTGGATCAGGCCAGCGGCCCATCCAACACTCGGTCACACAGTGGCCAAAAATACCAGGGGCCATCAGGAGGTCCAGCAGTGGGGACAGGTCTGTTGAATCGCCTGCTGTGAACCTGAGTTCTGGATGAAGACAGTGTGAATGCATATCTCCTATGCTTGCTAGTAGTAGATAAAGGGTTATATCCAACCATCCCTGCACTTTGCAGAGTGGGATTTTCCCACTGCAGTACACTTAGTCGTCCCCCCAACATGTTGTGCATGGGGGTAGGGTTTCCAGCCCCCTGCCGGAGACGGGGGATCCCCCACCCTCGGGCCCTGCCCCCTGCTGCCAATCAGATGGCTGGCAGGGGGAATTGCCCGGAGCAGGATGGAGGCCCAGGCTATGTTGCTGGCAACATGGTGATGTCACTTCCAGCGTTTTCTGGAACTCATGTCATCATGTCGGCAACGTCCAGGTGATGCTCTGGTATGTGGGCAAACCATTCTATGGTAGAAGCCATTTTTACCCAAACACCAGAGCATCACTTGGACGGCACGTTATGATGTCACTTCCAGTACATGCTGGAAGTGATGTCGCCACATCGCCGGCGACATAGCCTGGGCCTCCCTCCTGCTCCTGGTAAGTCACCACCCACCCCCTGCTGGTTGCCAGGAGGGAACTGGCAACCCTACACGGGGGCCAGCAGAACCTGAAAAACAGCAGGAGGGTCTGCAGCAGGAGGGGGCGGAATGGGCTGCCCCTTCTTCTGAGGATTCAAGTGCCTTTAGGTCTTTCGAACTCTGTGGCTGGAAACATGCCCGTGTATCCTATGCTGGAATCCATGTTTCACGACGACTTCTTGGCTTGCTTTGCAGACACCTTCCTTGGAGATTTTCTCTTGACGCACAACGTGTTCATGCCTACACCACAGCTGTGCAGAATTCTGCTCGAACAATATCCTTCATCGCTTGGATTCGGACTTGAGAGCACTCGAATTGGCAGGAAATTTTCATTAGAGTCCTTTCTTATAGTGGGCTGCTAGCAAATGTCATTAGAACACCCTCCGCAAGATCCTTCCACCTGTGAATGGGTAAATGGCAGGGTAGCAGCAACATTCTTCAGTGGCCAGCTTTGGTCAAAGGATTAGGGTTACCCAGGGGTCATTTTGTCGAAAAAGAGGTGCAGGAGCTCATTAGCATAACTCATTAGCATATGCCACACCGCCTGAAATCACTGGAAGTGTGTCTGAAGGCAACACCCACTGCTCAGGCTCCACTGGACTGTTTTGGATTGCTGGCTATTTGGGGGGGGGGGGATATGCAGATCTGTCCTCACAGAGGAGGGGGAGCTTGTACCTGAATAAAACTTGGTCTTAAAGCTGCCACTGGA